AACTAGTTTCATTTAACAGATAGGTACTTCGTAGTATAGACATCATCATCATCTTCCTGCCCATATCGCACCTAGGCGGGGTTGTGATAACATGTGAATCGTGTTGTTCCGGATTTGCCCATGTTTTGGGACTGACCGCCTTCCTGACATCAACTCTCCTTGGGAAACAAACACCCAGATCTGAAACAATTATCTGTAGGTCACACAAATACTTGTCCCATGTGGGAATCGTACCCCGATCCTGAAACCAATAGCTTAGCAACGGCGCTACCAAGTCGTCTCTGTAGTATAAACATAGTCTATGGAAATTTTAGCTAGTTTCAGTCGACGCCGATTCGAAGTATTGAATGCCTTATTGATTCTTTGAATTTAACCTCTATAAATCCATAAAGATGTTTGGTGTAGTAAAAAAAAAGGACAATAAAACTTCGAAAAACTCAAACCACAATATTATATGAGATTCGACTTAATCTCCCGTTTGTAATTAACTCATATGACATTGAAAATTGCATTGCAGAAATTTCTCTATTTATACACTATTCCGAACTAGAACTTTGGTTGAACTCAGGACTTGATGAGCTCTGCGTATAAATGTTGCTTTGATAGTGTATGTTTGGTAGACCTTTTATCTTGATATCGATAAGAGGGGGAATGGTCTTCAAACTAAAATTACCGGGATTAAATTACGCGTAAAATATATCGTAGCTTCTAATACCCCCATCCTCCCCCTCCAATGACTGCATCGTTTCAAAAGCATATCTTTCACGAAGTAGAGCGCAAAATATACGTCCTGTTAATATTTCTAAACGAAATTAGAATATAACACATTTTATGAACTTCACTGTATTAAATAATACTCAATAACATTAAAGAAACGGCGCGTCCTTTCTTAGCGAACGCGTCGACGCGTACGCGAAACCTCCGTGATTTAGGGTCGCTCTCCCCGATGCTCGATAACGCCTTACTTATTGTTACAGTGCCGTTTGATCGGCCAACGACGCGGCCGCCGATTCGCCATATCGTATTTATGCCCCTTCAACGGCCTTTATTGCTATTAATATGAGCGTCTTAGTCCTCCCTTTGCGACTCACCTGTTGCCAAGCACCGTTCCCTCGTGCAGGTGAGGTGTGCTTGCTGTAAAGCAAATTCGGCCTTGTGGTATCGGTTTAAGGTCCGTTTCGCAACGCATTTGGATATTGCCTCGGACGTGGAATTGTTTTATGGATGCTTAATTATTCCGCAAATAAAAAGCGTCGAGATATTAAACCGCGACACCCGTGCTATAACAAGTTCTGTTATACTACGATTGCCAGGTTGATGCCTCCAGAATGAGTACAGGAGTGAATAGTTTATTTTCAAACGTATCTTGAGAAAATTCTAGCAAATAGTCTGAAGCAGAACTATTAAAGCCTTTACTTAAGAGCTCCCACGAGTATTTGTCTCGGTTAAATGTCAATTCATGGTTACTGGCTACAATTAACAATTGCACCTCTTTTAAAACCTAATTTCTAGCTAATCCATAACAAAACTTCGGCTTAACGCTCAAAAATAGAGATAACTATACATATTCTTAACGTATACTTGGACATAGAAGCATACAGTAGCTTCTTCTGCGCAAGAGTATCGTTTAGAAATGAAAACATCATGGTCTCATAGGATACCGCTGCAAAAGTATTTAAACTTTTGCGTCGTGTGTTTTTGCCGTGGCGCAGTTGTCAATGTTATTGGCTTCGGTGACGGGGGTCGTGGGTTCAATTCCCACACGGGACAAGTATTTGTGTGATGCACAGATAATTGTTTCGCATCTGGGTGTTTGTCCACGTGAAATTTGTGTTTGTAAAACGCTCTTACAACACAGCACAATGTTATCCTACAGTAAGGCCAATGTTTTAAGAAAAGCCCTTATGGTTCTTATACTGTTAATACTGGATATAATACTGTTGATACTCACGTAGGCTAGAATAAGTCTATTATACCTGTATATTATAATGTGAACTGATATTTTTGAGAAAGAGCAACTGTTGAATTTCTTGCCGGTCTCTTCTCAACAGAAACTGCTTTCCGAACCGGTGGTACCTTACGAACCTATATTCATAATTTTTGATGTAAAATTTAACGATTCATAAGAGAAGGCGCAGGCGTCTATTTTTGATTTTGATTTTATAAGTGAAACCATGTCCAATTTGTCACCTTATGCTACTATCTGTAACACAAAACAAAGCAGGGATTAATATAATTTTTCCTTTTATATGTGAAAAGTCGGCCAACGGATAGACAGTTCACCTGATGTTAAGTGACTACACCAACCATGAATATCTGCATAGACTTAAAAGTTGGACATACCTTGCTACCCCTCAAAAAAGGATCTCGGTTACCTCACTCAGCAGACGAAACGCGAAATTATATTACTTCAAATTCACACCGGTCATCTACGAGGCCGTGGTACCTTCCGGACGAGGCTACCCATTCGTACAACAGTAGAAGCGTGCCCCTACAACAGTAAACTTTACTATAATTTCTCATAACATATATTTTTAGTTGTTTCCATTCTAAAAGGTTCACTGTAAACCAAAGAAATAAAGATGACAATATGAGATAGCACTGCATATTTGAATATTCGAACCAATGCTCCTAGGCTTACTCTCTTTACAAAAATAGCAATTCACATTTGACTTCAGAAGCGAAACAGTTGAATCTTTGTCAAGTGCCGACCACGTGCCCTTTCAAAAAGCGACCACGACGAACACAATAACGCGATGGAGTTAAATTTTTCAGGCGATCTTATAAATGCCCATTTGCGTTTTCCCACCGGCCGCAATTAGCCGCAATTAAATTGCGCGGCGGCGGATTCTATTTAAAAAAAAAAAAACGAACAACCGATAGGAAGCGGCGGCGCTCAAGGCGAAGGAACGTGGCTGCGCTTGGACGGCCTCGCTTGCTGGCAACAAAGATGCATTGTCCCGGTGCACCGCTCTTTGGAACAAATCCAATATTGTCGGGCGAATCCGACTAGTCGCGACCTCCAAATTCCTCATTTGAATAGCCCGCCACGAGGAAACAGAACAAACGCCAACTGTGACGCCAGACGATATTGAACTCTAATCTGTGGGGTTTGAGTTGGCGATCGGACGAAGGGCGGCGCGTCGGGTGTACGCCGATTAGTCTTAAAAGGCCAGGATGGGCAGATCGCTGGCTATTGTCTCGCTGACCTCAACAAAGAAAGGATGGCGATGACAAACGCCGTGGCTAAGGCAGCTGTCAAGGTTACGCCGGGTTGTACGCGGCCGCATATGGCGGGCTGTAGTAAATTAAGTCGTCTGGTAAACGTTTAATTCCCAGCCAACAATGTGACAGACAGTCCAAATGTTGTTTTTGTTGGATATTTGTGGTGAATGTTAGGTAGAGAATAATAAATACAATAAGCGAACTTTTCAACACTGCTACAACTGCAACTGTAGTTGGCCCAGGATCTTACTCCGTTGCAGTCTGTGGAGGAGGCCTATGTCTAGCAGTGGACTCGAACAGGCCGATTTGTTATTGTAACTAAATGTTGGTCATAACTTAAGAGAGTTTGATCAAGCAGATATTCCTATATTCATCGAAAAATTGTTTTGATTTCAATACAAACCAACAACTCTGCTTAAAGAGTACCGAATACTTGTATATTAATTTTGTTATCGAAGTGGAATTTCATTAGTGGTGCAAGCAAAATCCGCTGTGACTCAAGCGACAAACTTGAGCACTTTGAGTGATCAGACAATGACTTATTGCTTCACATGTGTCACTTGCCAAAAATGTCGGTACCCTACCATGCACCCTTAATGCGTGCACAAAGCGATTGAAACGATATCCTTAAGCATATAAAGGCGATTTTGGCTCGCCCTTCACAACCGTTACGTTACTTACGGATTGACAAACAATAAAAAATCGTTTGTCACACCCACCGATTAAAACAAAGGAAAACGATAAAATGAAAAGTACGTGGCGTGATTCAAAACGTCCGCATATAATCAATAAATAATATGTTTTCTTGTAAGTACAAGCGGACAATGAGTGCATACCTGATGACCCCGAAAAGTGTTTCAACGGTTAAAGGTGTCAATAACGGGCTCCATTATCTGAAGAAGTCTCGGCTTTGGTGAAGAAAAAATTGGTTTATGGAGGAAAAGCTTTAGAAAGTTAGAGGTAGACCTCTCCTCTTTTTATAGTGTAAGTAGGTTGGTACGAGGTTTGATGAAGCTGCAATAGCCTATTATTCCAAAAGCGTTAGTTATGTAAATCCTTACTTCCTTACTTAATATTATAAACGCGAAAGTTTGTATGTATGGATGGATGTTTGTTAATCTTTCACGCAAATACTACTGAATGGATTTTAATGAAACTTTACAATAATATAGCTTATACATCAGAATAAAACATAGGCTATAATTATTCATATACATACTTTTATGTATATCTGTCTTTCTGTCTGAATGTCACGCTTTCATCTTATTCTACGCAGACGTAGTCGCGGGCAGCAGCTAGTAGGTTAATATAGATCAAAACCCCACTTGATTTTTAGCTTTTTTTTATCTGAGAAAGTGGCAAATGAGCTGGCGGTTCACCTGATGTTAAGTGATAACCGCCGCCCATGGACACTTGCAAAACTCGTAGGGTTGCAAATGCGTTGCCACCTTTAAATAAAGTGGGCCCGGGCTACCTCACTCACCAGACGAAACGCAGAAGAGTAACACTTCTACTTTACGCCGGTCTTCTGTGAAGTCGTGGTACTTACCCGGACGGGCCTGCCCATTTGTGCAACAGTGTTGCGTGGCCCTACCACCGTAAACATTAAATATATGACTTATCATGGTAAAAGCTTATTTTTAAACGAGTAATTAATTAACCTACTACCAAGACATCGGTGTTTTAATTGCTATTAAATAACATAAAGGATCCGTCTCATGCATTCGTCCCAACCTTGCTCAATAGTCGTCGCGTAAGTATCTTATGGCCTCTAAATGGGAGCACATGCCAGGCTCCTCCACTCCGTCGCGCCGTCCACGATCTCTAAAGCTCAGCCTGAGCATTGCTCGTGGCCCGTGGCGCGCGGCGACCTGAGCATTGCTCATTACCTAAACGTCCGTGGCGTGCCGGCGATAGCATCGCTCGTCGGCAGTGCGGTGCCGCCGCGTAAATCACGCGATGCGTATCGCCCGATGTCGCGACATGCGCCCCAGGCCTAATTGTTCGGATAATGGGTTCGCGTATTCGCTCCCCACTAGGGCGGGCAGGCGACAAGCTCGGTCGCGACACTCGAGCGGAGATAACGGCCGTCCCTAGCCGATAACGCGGGCGGTGAAAGCCCGCACAGTGTGATAAGTTCAATTGTTTGTTCACGCTTCGTGGTGTGATGAGGTTGACTTATTCAGCGTCTGCGAATGTCCCGCTTAGTTAAAACATTCAAGATTATAAACAACTAGCGACCCGCCCCGGCTTCATACAGGTGCAATGTATATATATATACATATAAACCTTCCTCTTGAATCACTCTATCTAGTAAAAAACCTGTATCAAGATCCGTTGCGCAGTTTTAAATATCTAAGCGTTCTTAGGTACAGACAGCGGGACGACTTTGTTTTATACTATGTAGTGATAAATGTAAGCAGAGAAACATATCATTCGGCTTTATTAAATTCACTGACATGTTAACCGATCCTTCTATTCATTGTGATAGGCCCACGCAACAGTACTCGATGTTGCACGAATGGGCAGGTCCGTCCGGAGAAATACCACGAACTAATAGAAAACCGATGTAAAGTGTAAATGTTATACTTCTGCCGTTCGTCTAGTAAGTGAGGTAATCTAGCATCGCATTGATACTCTACGGGTGCTTCAAATGTATATGGGCGGCGGTTATTACTTAACTATAATAAAGCCGTGATAGCTAATTGTCCGGGCGCTCGTTTTTAATTCCATATACGCAACCTGAGTTCCATCCCCGGTGCCGGCAGCAATGAAATTTGTTAATATTAAGTCCACCGCGCGGCCCCGCGTGGTCGACTATGCCTGATGCCTTCTGTACAGAGGAGGCCTTTGTCCAGCCGTGGGACTATTATACGCTGTTACTTTTTCTTTATTTTTTTTTTTAAGTTAAAAGAAACTTACGCAATGTACATAACGCAGTAGTACGTCGTTTACGGGACACATTTAAATAACAGGGTGACCGACCTCACGCCAAACGTGACGCATACATATTTAAATAGAAAAGCAATAACACCTCGTGCCTAAAGTGACTCACAAACACAACATGTTGTCAAGAAAAAGAAGTGTCCGTTAATATGCAAACATGATTTAAACACACATTTATTTAAGCAAAGCCTTAACAAAGCCAAACCGTATCGCGTTACACTTCACACGGAACCAAATCGAACCGATCTCGATTAATCTAACAGCACTCAACGATCTAATTTATGAGCTGCTAAAGTAATTAATTCGTGAGATAGCTTGGGAAGTTATGTTGAAACCGATCATGCACAATACGTAATACCTAAGTTGGAATATCGCCTCAGAAATTTACTTTATTTATCGCTTGTAAAGATAACAGCGTAGCGATGGTGAAAGGTTACATAGTGGAGCACAAATCCCGTCCCGAGAGAAAGTTCTAGAGCGATGTCGATGCTAAAGCATCGTCTTAATTTGACTAGAAACAATGGTTACTCAGATGATGTTTAACAATATAGATGACGCATGTCCATACTGCGTTGCCTTTGAAAATTATATTATAAGATATATATAAGTGAATGTGATAGATGATATAGAACGTATAACGAGACGGAAAGAGATATGAGTCTCTAGAATTGCAATCTAATTACACCAATTAGCGTAATTTTGAGTGCCTCAATTTCGGTGCGCTAGTGTCAATTTTATTGTATACTAGCTGATCCGAAAAACGTCATTTTGTGGAATTTAGTAAAATCCGTTCTTAGCTGACCTCTACTCGGCGAAACGAATATTTCTATCAAATTTCAAGTCTTTACGCCTTATTGTTCCAGAGATATCGTGATGATTAATTTTCGGTGGAAATCTCTTATATGTGTATATATATACATAGAACATGAAGATAGATGTGAACATGTAGTTTGTGATTCTCGTTGTCGTACCTGAAATATCTATAAACGGAGCTTGATACCTAATGTATAGTAAATTGAAGCTCTGATGTTATCAAAGATATTTTAAATTAAAAGTTTTCAGCCCCGTTCGTGGCACGGCGAACAAAACACACGAGCGGATAAGACCCAAGTACCGTTCAGTACGCATCCAAACAAAAGCCTATATCTCGCCTAGCTCGGAATGTGAATTACGAAACCTTAGCCGAATCACCTTAGGAATTCGCTTAAGAAAGCAAGAAAGCACAGTGCGTGGACAAATCGACGTTATTAGTGAAAATGTACCTCGCGACCGCGCTGGAAACGAACGCGCGTCCCCCGCGATAACCTTCGTTATTTCAAAATTGTTAAAAATGTACATTTGACGTCTTTAAATGGGCGCGTATTAACCCCGGAACTTTCTACGGTCGAGCGCGCTGGCCTTATCGACCCACAACTCCGTCGGACGCGACGGTGTGTACAAAAAAAAACAAACGAAAAGCCACAAAAGGTTTGATTTCACTTAACCTTATGAAAGATCCGCCGGCATAAAGGAAACCCGTAAATTGATTAACAAACCAATAAATAATAGCGAGCCACGGTGCGACATAGAGAAAGATCGTATGATATATCTTCACGCGATTATAAGCTGTATTACTGAAGTGCTTTATAAAGAATTGACATTATTTTCCCTGTACGGAAACATCTTACAGATATTGATTGTTTCGTAATAGAGAATATCGGTGTGAAAAAAGAAAGCCATCGGTTATTGTTCGTTAAAAATGAGAATTATGTTGAAGACGCTCCCACTTGGCGTCAGATACACTTGTTAACAACGTCTGCGATCGGTTTATATTGGTTTGTCACCCGTTTCTTATACCGTTAATAACTGAAGCGCACTCTTCAACGATTTCGTCTTATAAGAAACTTAAAATAAAATAATTTAATAGCCTATCTCACGCTGCTGGGCACAGAGGGTATTAAGGTATATTCCACCACGCGACGAAATATTTATTCTTTGTTGTTATTTCGAAAATATGCAGGTTTTCTCACGATGTTTTCTTTCACCGCCAAGCACGTGATAATTCAGTGCTAATTTTTTTCTAGGGTTGCTCGAGTATATAGAAATAACAGCGAGGTCCTGGACAATGAGTTGTCACGGTTAATTTTCTACTTCACTTCAGATCATATGAAATAAAACTATTTTACGGATTTTGTTGCATTTAAATTTTGATTTGTAATTCTCGATCTTAAATGAAGAAGTAATGGGAATTATAATAAAAATTAAAACGCGATAAAATTCGTAAAATAGTTTCGTTTAATATGTATATTATTCGCGAAAAAACAAGAAATCACTTCTGATCATTTGAAAACGGTATATGAGATTTATACTGATGTGGCAGTGGTAATTTAGTTGCAGTGTTGACGGGTTCCAGTGTAAGGTTTCAAGTTCTAAGTCCACCTGCTCACCAAAACACTACCATTTGTTATTATGTCACCTTTGGTACAGAGGTATGAATACCAAATTTGTTTTCATATCTCTGTACCAATATAATTACGGCCCTACCCACAGCGGAGGGCCGTAATTATGCCCAAACCCGTGGGTTCTGGCTAGCCCACCGGTTCTGCGTCAGATGAAGCTGTAATAGTCTCGGGACAGAAAGCAAAAACATCAGTTAATACAAGATACAAGAATATAATTATTAAAAAAAATAAAGTACAGTAACAGCCGGTAAATGTCCCACTGCTGGGCGAATCCTCTTCTGTAAAGAGGGAATCAGGTCATAGTCCACCACTCGACCTCACTGTGGATTGGCAGAGTTCACATATTTTTCAAACATTCTTTTATATTATTATTTCACAAATGCAAGTTTCCTCAGGATGTTTTCCCTCACCGCCGAGCACGTGATAATTCATCACTTAAAATTAACAATTTCATTGGTGCTGGCACCGAAGTCGAACTCAGGTTGCTCGAGTAAATGTAAGTACCTGAAGGACCGAGCTTTGCTTGTTTTTTTTTTTTTTTTGGTAAATCATATATTTTGGAAATAAAAAAATAAAAAATAAAGCAATCATGTAGAATGGTGTAGAAATAAAAATAAGTGTGTAAATGATCGTGATACGAACCGCGGCCGTCTGTTTTGGGGCCGCCCGATTACCGACCGAGCTATTATAACATTTTTTTTTATTAATGTAATTAAATTTATATTTTAACCGCCTTTATCTTGTGGAACAATCGCGTGGATTACAATCATTTCATGCAGTTGTCACATGTCTAATATAAATCACCCAAGTTCTAAGCATATGCTCAAGATATACCGCAATACATACTCGCGTCCCACTATTGTAAGTCTACTGTATTCACGAAGTTAGGTCCTCTAATTAGGTTCGTAAGACCAAGACTTATAAATCACTTTGTTCACTTCGAACGAAGTCTGTACAAAATTCGAGTGAATTACGAATTCACTCGAGTCAGTGCCGCAACGGATAATCCGCCACCCATCTTTGCGTAGAATCTCTCCAGCGTTGAGGTACCGAGCGATGGCATTCCACTTTCAAATCACCACCAAACTGTCCAAGAATGTGTACTGACTACAATCGACAAACTCTAACGGGCCTCGGCGCGTGAAACGTATCAAGGCCAGTTAAAAATAATTGTCGCTATCAGCTAATGCACTATTGGGCCCGCCTTACGAGCCTCGTGGACGCAACAGAACCATTGCGACGCGCAACGGGAAAACGCATCACCAAATTGATTATTACCATTAGCGCCCTTGTCGGGACATGGGCGTTATAATGCCGAAATACACGAGTGCGATGAAAAATGCACCGAAGACAACGTCTATACGATGTCACTCGGCCGCAATGCAGCTGGACTGCAAAACGACACGCGAATCTAGCACGTATGCACATAACATCAAGGTCCACGCTATCCCGGCGCGGCGGCATCGCAATGTTTGGCGCCAGTTTACGAAATCGGCCTGGATTAATCGCCGGACACACGGAGAGGTGAACTGACAAATTAGTTACAACGTATTGGATTCAAATCGTGCGTGTTCCTTTTGTTTTGTTTCCACAAGTCGCCAGCCACTCGGTACAGTCGACGGGGTGAGCCGGAACGAGATGGGGCCAGATTCGAAATAAAAATATTTTAATTTTGCCAATGTTCGAGACTAATCAAGCTCGCCAAAAGGTGGACATAATTATTAGCTGTCTATTAGACTTAGGCCCGGTTTCTGAGACACTGATCATCGTAGGAGTCAACTAATCAGCTGTCAGATGGCTTTTCAAATGTTCTTTAAGTAGCCAATAGGATGGTTAAACTCTTTGAATTGATCAGAATGATCCTCTTAATGACCAGAAAGATCAATTCAAAGAGTTTCTGATCTGGATCAAGTGACGGCCATGCGGTCATGAAATCCAAAAGTTGAAACAAAAACTTCACAATAAACGTAGGTACAACCTCTATACATCTTTTGAGAAACTTCAATATATTTTATTCTTAAAAAACACAACACCTCGAGAAATACATCTGAAAACGCGAGCAATTTTAGTTATTCTATTTCTATAGTAACTGTGGTAGGGCCATGCAACAGCTTCGGCTGGGCAGGTCTTTCCGGGTACCATGACCATACAGAAGATCGGCGTGAAGTGGAAGTGCCTACTGCGCTTCATCACGAGTTGTTTCATTGCGAGTGAGGCTCCACTGAGCCCCCTCCGTAACCTTTGGTCCACTTTATTAAAGGCATGCATCTACCATACCACTATCATATGCATTATCATACCCTACGAGTGTCGGAGTGGGCGGCGGTTATCACTTAACATCAGGTGAACCGCCAGCTCGCTTGCCATCTTCCCACATAAACGAAAATCCGCCCAAGTGCGAGTCGGACTCAAGCACGAAGGGTTCCGTGCCATTATCTATTAAAAAAATCATGTCAGTTGGGTGGGCCCCCACTTATATATTTTTTATTCTGATTTTAGTATTTGTTGTTATAGCGGCAACTGTAATAAATCATCTGTTAAAATTTCATCTGTCTAACTATCACGGTTCATGAGATACAGGCTGGTAACAGAAGGACAGACTCACAAGCAGACAGCAGAGTCTTAGTAATAGGTACCCGTTGTACCCTTTGGGTGAATCCCTAAAAATAGTAAACTATCAGCGCCAGAGTAAAAGTTTGTATATTTTATATGTTCTCAAACAGGCAGACGTTAATCTGATGTTAAGTGAATAACTCCACTCGACAAACGTATAGATAATTGTGCCGGTTCTGTGTGTTAGTTCCCAAAAAGGATTTATGTCAGGCAGGCGGCAGCGCGACCCTAAACCGAGCCAATTCCAGTAACAACATGATTCTCATCTTGTACCTACCCCACAAACGGAACTAGAAAGAAGAAATAAGAATAAACACTATTTTTGGGTATATACTTTATTTAAGCGACCACTAGACTTTGTTAGATAAAACTATTTTTACGTCCTGTGTCCATGATTGCTGCAAACTGTAGACGCAGTGAAAAAAAAATGATTAATTTAGAATGTATGTAAGAAGCTAAATTGTGAGACATCCTAGAGCAACTAAAAGTACAAGCAGTTTTTAGGAGCACCGCTAACAAGCAGAGTGGCGCAGTGGAAGCGTGCTGGGCCCATAACCCAGAGGTCCGTGGATCGAAACCACGCTCTGCTATCGCTTTTTGTTACTTTACACGCGTATTTCGACGCTTTCTTAATCCGTTTCTTTTTTTTTTGTTTGAATTAAAACTGGCGGAAAAAATGTAAGATTTGAATTTTTTACCATACTTGGATTTTAGATACATCCATTTTTTTTTTTTCAAAAATGACATGAAAATTGTATAACAGAAGAAGTTTAAGTTTAAAAAAAAACCCCATTTACATGATGCAAGTTTCTTGCCTGTTGTATACAATTAAATTGAAGCAATAAATGACTTGCACAAGGTACATAATCTACATGATGTAAGTAGGTTACTATTTCCCATTTCTTATATGCAAAATCACTGAAAAATTCCACCGTCAGTTATATTAATGAGTTTGATGAAACTTAGATAACCAACTGTCACATTAAAAACACGAGCCAGCTTTTTGGATACCTTACAATGTAATGGCGTCCGACAAACCATCAAATCGTTCAAATTTCACAACACACCACGTACGTATATTCATGATATGTTCCCATTATAGTTTCATAACGCAACATAGCGGTCTGCTATCGAAAAGTCATCCGACACCGCGACGGACCACACGTATAGTGGCCGGTCGCTTAACGAAATGCCCGTAAACTACATTATATTAAAAGCGCCTCATTATCATACGATAGAGGTGCTCTCAAATTACAATGAATATTACGATTCGTCGAATGATATACGGGCCCCGGGTTGCGCTTACACGGAAAGGGCGTTCAGCCGCCCATACTTGTCGATCCACAACATTTGATACGCGATCTTATTAGTGAAACTCGATAAAATATCCAAATGATTTCTCAGAACGACTTATCAATGAATGGATGAAGGATGGAAAAGTAATGAGCGTTCAACTCAATTTTAACCCTAACAGCTTCGTGTTCGATAAACATTACCGTAATACCAGAGGCCTTGATATAAATTTGTCCATTGAAATAAATGTAAGTATTATCGCTAAATATTAGTGCTTATATATTGGGCATAAGCATAAGGGCCAACTAATTCGAGGAAATACTAAGGCCTAATAGAGTACCAGCTTTAAAATATGTAAAAGTATAGTATCAGCCTATACATCTCCCACTGCTGGACAAGGACCTTCTCTTTACAACGGATATCAGGGCATAGTCCCACTGTGGATAGGCGGACTTCACATATCTTCTAAAATATATATTTTTTTGTTATTATTTCGATAAAACGCTGGTTTGCTCACGAAGTTCTCCGTCACAGTTGATCACGTGATAATTCAGCACCTATAATAAACAATTTCAGTGGTGACGGCACCGGGGATCGAACTCAAGTTGCTCGAGTATATTGAATTAAAGACGAGCGTCCGGACACTAAGCTATCATGGTACATTAATATATGTATTAATACTTTTGCGTTTATCCCGGTGCGTGAGGTAACGTTGGGTACGTTACGTTCCTCTTAAAGGTTAGCTTTAACGCACCTCAAACCCTCGAGATTTGTAAACGTCCATGGCCGACGGTGATCTTATAATCAGAATCTTATCAGTCAACTGCAGAAATTAAATAATTATTGTTTTCATTTACCATCATATGGTAGAGCCTCGTTGCGGCCGTTGCAAGAATGGGCAGGCTCACCCGAGAAAGTTCTACGGTCTCACAGAAAGTAACAGATCGGTGTGAAGTGGATGTAGTACTATGTTATACTCTTACACTGTCTGGTGTGTGTCCAGACTTTTAAGATTGTCAACGCATGTGCCACGCCTAAGATGTTGTAGATGGACTCCACAATTTCTGGGTGGGATTAATATCAGGTGAACCACCTGCTCCGTAGCCAAATTTTGACATAAAAATAAAATAATTGATGTTGTCAATCGAGTCAGTAAATCTGCAATTGTTAAAGCCTCGTTTGATTTCTCCTCATTGATTTTGATTAGAATGTTAAAAAACCGGCCAAGTACGAGTCGGAATCGCCTACGAATGGTTCCATATCATCTACTATATAAAATTCTCGTGTCACGGTGTTTGTAATGGAACTCCTCCGAAACGGCTTGACCGATTTTCGTGAAATTTTGTGTGCATATCGGCCAGGGTGGAGAATCGGACAACATCTATTTTTCATCCCCCTAAATGTTAAGGGTGGTCCACCCCAAACATTTTTTTCTACCCTACAAATAATTTATATGGCAAAACAACGTTTGCCGGTTCAGCTAGTTATCTATAAAACTGGAAAAAAAAAGTCTTAAAACAATCGTTTACGAATGTGAAATTTGTACAACCGAATGATTATTAGACATTCTCAAAATTTCTAAAAAGATTAACACAAAGTCATTTAAATAATGGACGTAAACAAAAGCATTCTTTCATCTGGGTCCTATAAAATATTCCTCGTTAAGTACCACACATTTAAAATGTTGTTCACTCTATGTTATTCAAATGCACCTTGCTTGTTTTCCAACTCTTTGATAGATACTAGTTCTTATTTAAACTAACCAAATCGAAGTGCATAGTTTGTACTTAAAAAAGACAATCTAGCTAGTTAAGAGCCGTGTTTACCCGCAAAAAGCTATTTTGCATGGTACAATTCTATTACAGTTTTTGAAGCAGAGTCATAAGAAGTTTTTGTATAAGAGCAGCAGCGGTCTTCGCTGTCTCGAATGGACAGTTCAAGGAAGAACGGTGTGAAGTCAAAGTGTTGTACTTCTGCGTTTCGTCTGGTGAGTGAGATAGCCGGAGCCCACTTTAAAATTTGGCAACGACCACCATTACTACTTTACCCTTAAAAGGTGGCAACGCATCAACCCAAAGGGTGTTTCAAATGTTCATGGGCTATTACTTAACATCAGTGAACCGCTAGCTCGGTTTGCCACCTTTTCATACAAAATTTAGATCATACCTAATTTGATAACTCAGAGTGTTCAAACATACAACTGTGGATTTATTTATTGTTAGAATAAATTCTTGCCTAAAGCGTACATTTCATAATGCGTATTTTTAACATTTTTAAAGTTCTTCGCGGTTAAGTAATTTAATATTGATTCCTATCATCGATTTCGTATTAGGAAACGGCAAGTTGTAAAACTCCTCCATTGAAATATGCTGTGCAATCATTTATAATGTCAGATAGGAACGTTGCCATAAAATAAGTAAATATGTAATCAAAAACAAAACACATCGATGACCTTCCCATTTGTAATGTGACAGCGCGATTTCTAAGAAAATTAAAAAAAAAAGAGGAAACAAAGCAATCAACGTTTAACGCGTCACTATCTGAGTTGTCCGAGCTCGCAATAAATCCACCGTGCCCGCCGATAAGGAGGTTTTATCCGCGAACTGTTAGAAATCGCGGCCCGCGGCTGAGCCACGCCGATTTGTCGCCGCGCCGAGGTGCAGTGCTCATATTAATTCCCATTATTTCGGGACCATTACGTCGACGAGTCGACGAGATAACGACGCGACGGACAAATATAACGGACGGTGCAGGGCGCGCGGCGGGAGGCGCCACGTCGGGCCGCGGGCTGGCTGGCTGGCTCGCGCTGCGGTCGACGCTAATTGAGCCACTCGGTGGTGTGCTAAGCCAGTGAATCGCACGCGACGGGCGATCGACGGCCGGTGTCCATTGTCCGGCACGTCACGATTTTCACTGTGGCAGGGCCATTCAACAGCTTCGGCTGTTGCATCAATGGGCAGGTCCGTTCGGGTAAGTACCACGACCTCACAGAAGACCGACTTGAAGTGGAAGTGTTGTGCTCCTGCGTTTCGTCTGGTGAGTGAGGTGGCCGGGGCCTACTTTATTAAAAGGTGGCAAGGCGTCTGCAACTCTGCGGACGCCTCTAATCTCGCTATCTCTAATCTCGTGAACGGTGACCGAGAGCCTTTAAGAATATATGACTAAGGAAAAGTGTGGATAAGATAAGCTGGTTCTAGCCGATTGCATCATATGGCAGGACCGAGTGTCCCTAACACCTGGGAGAGGAGGCCTGAAAGGCCACAGTCGCGCCGGGTTCGGTTCCGATTAGTAGAGAAGATTACGTTATCGTGTTCCCGTGTCCCCGGCAAAAGCGACGTGCAACGTGGGCTTTTTAGTGGGTATCCCGTTGTCTCCTGGGGACTCCTACATACCCCCGCTGTCTACCCACAAGACGGCGGGGTATCCATAAAGGATTTTTCCCTCGTAAAATAAAGCTGGTTCTGACTAACCGTAGTGGTTTAAGTTTAAATTTGTACGTAAGAAAAAATGTTTTCCAAAAATATCTTCTCATCAGTGTGTCAAAAACATATTCTAATGTAAACTTCACGTCGCAACAAACATGATTATTTTTAATTTGTAACAGTCACCTGCAAAAGTCAAGGCATCCAGTGTAAGCATTATGTATAATATTAAATCTATTAAATCAACTGATTTAATAAATCCAGCTTATACTTGCAAAATATGGTAAAATTTGCGTGAGAATCAAACTGCACCTGCGGAATTTAAATCTATTTTGATTTAATTCTGTAACTGTATCACTATATTAAGACCAATATTGGTTGATGAAAGTTTGTAAGTGATATCATATCAAAGACTCAGGAAAATTTACGGTCAACAGCTACTTTGCCAGTTACCATAGATACGGGCAGCAAATAAATACGTCATTTCAGCGATAAAAAACTGCCAAATGTTACAATGGACACGCGCTCTTCCTCACGCCCACGTCCTTACATTTTTGTATTAATTCCATATAATTGTAGTGTCAGGTTTACGTTACAGCTTACATTAATTGTTTAGAAATAAACCCGTTCGTTGTGAGAAAGTTTGGATTATTTCTATATTGCGCTCCCTTGCAGTGTAATCAGTCAATTCGTTCAATTACAATGAATAATTAACAAAATTTAACAAGCATTAACATTTTGTGCTAAAGTTTTTTAAGGTACCCAATGAATTTTAAGTTAATATTTAACATGATATTAATTCTTATTAAATTCAAAACATACAATGTATCTGAGGAGAATTTAACTTTATTACTGTGATGTAAGGTAGAATAAGTTAGTTTATAAGTTTTTACGATGGTATATGTAAACCATATGTATGCAAGTCATTCTAAAAATAAACGGTTAATAAGCGGGTTGTGTTTCTGAAATGAGCTTTCTAGAACATAACAATTACCAATATATCATTACATCAAAATTAACGTATATTTAGCTCTTGGATTTTTAATGTGAATCCAGATGACTGATACAGTTAAAGTAAGAATCAACAATCTAATTTCATATCAAAATGTAGATTCTTATCTCCGGATTGGAGTTTTTTTTATATGTGAAAAGTTGCCAAGCGAGCAGACGGTTCTCCTGATGTTAAGTGAATGACATAACACTTTGAACACACCCATGGACATCTGCTACACCCAAGGGTTCCAGATGCGTTGACAACCTTTGAAAATTGGGCTCCGGCCACCTCACTCACCAGACGAAACGCGAAAGTATTATACTTCCACTTTACGCCGGTCTTCTGTGAGGTCGTGGTACGTACCCGGACGAGCCGGCCCATTCGTGCAACAGACGAGGCTGCTGCGTCGCCCTACCACCGTAGACAGTATGGATGACTCTTAACAGATGATGGTAGAACCACCTACTGTTGCACGAATGGGCAGGCTCATCCGGAAGAGTACCAAGACCTCACAGAAGACAGATGTGACGTTTAAGTATTATGCTTTCAACATTTCATCTGGTGAGTCGGATAACCGGAGCCTACTGGAAAAAAGTAATTCAGACAATTAATGCTCTTCTATCCTCAGTCTAGTCGGATGAAGATTTATTAATAATACCAACCAAATCAAAGTATAATTCCTTGAGAGATTAGTCGGATATTACATTTTGACCTTGAGATATTAGACTAATAATCTGAACCAAATTCAAGTCACTTCAAGATAGAATTAACGCAACCACACAGCAGATAACATTCGAGATTGACGCTGCCAAGCCACGATATAATTGTTCGTAATTAACAATGATATAACATTGGGAGATAGCCGATCTGACATTCGCCGCGACCTCCTGAACGGGCCTTGCACTGGATACGAATTAAACCTCATTACGACCGCTCCACGGGTTATGTCACATCGGCCCAACAATGAGTTTCTCACGACTGTACTAGAAACATTGTCTCGTTCGGCTTTTGTCTTGCAGCCTTGACGTCTGCCGTAGAATGGTAGGACTTTGCGCGGATATCGTTTCCCATTATCGTATTCGATTTTACCTCGCGACCATTATAATGCTGTTACGGCGACAATTGCTTTTTTTAGCTGCGGACTTGATGATCTGTCTTAATTTTATGCAGGTATTTCGGTTGCAGAGATTATACAATTTCATTGAAAATTTTCAACGCATCTGCAATCCAAATGTCCATGGGCGGCACTGGGGATTATGTCATAAATATGCAGGAATCGGCATGATCTTTTACCTAAATCAATACTTGAAATCCCATTCAATAATTTCACCGAGGCTAAAGCATGGTATTGAGATTTGAACTCAAGTTGCTCGAGTATATAAAGTATAGTAAAAAAAATGATGTAAAGTAAATTATGCAAATCTCCAATACATATGCTGGCTGTGGTTGTACTTTAAATAAATAAATAGATAAATAAATAAATAAAAGAGAGTGGCCTATCCAGTGATAGGCCACTCTCTCGTCGTTTTGTTATGTATGGTAGCCCAGTGGCTACCAAACATAACCAAACGACGTTAAGGCTCAGAAAAATTTGTAAGCATTGGAATAAACGTAATTGTTTTTGCAACGGACAATAACGTTCCGCTTCAGATATTATGATCTTCATCTCGTCATTAGGAGTACACTTAAAATGCCACTCCGAATGCTGTCGCAAAAACGCGGGCGAGCGTAATCCGCAAAAATTAACCTCCAGTAATTAGTTAATCCGTAAAGGTCGTACTCAAATTTTAAGTGTAAAAACGTAATAGGTTTTATGCACCACGCGTCCTACATTTGGTAGCGAAGTTTTAAGGGTTCCGTACCTTAAAAGGTTAAAGTAAGCTCACTGCCTTGTCCGTCTATCTGTCCGTGTGTCACCACCGATTTTCTCAGGAACGGTCCACCCTTTGATTTTTATACACCTAATAGGAACTATAGACTTCAGTATCTAGTATAAATTTCAACCTGCTAGGGCCCATTTTCTCAGGAACGGGTTCCTGAGAAAATGGGTGGTGATTAATTACCAATTTTATGATGGCCGTATAATGTTAGGGACGGAACCCTCATCGTACGAGTTCGACTCGCACTTGACCGGTTTTAATTTTTAACTTCGCAGTAATATTTTAGTAGTACACTGAAGGATTGAGAAGTTTGTGAGTACTTTTTAAATTATCGTCAGCCACTGTTCTTAAAATATTAATCCTAATTACTTTTTAACCTTTCGTCAAATATTACACTATATTCAATTCGCACTTTCGACAGCCGAGGCTATTTTTATGTTAAAATGTGGCAAGGGGGCTGGCGGTTCATCTAATATTAAGCGATAACCACCACCTATAGACATTTTCAACACCCGTAGAGTTGCAGATGCCTTGCGACCTATTTAAAAAATAGGCATCAATACGTTATATAACACTTCGCCGGTCTTCTGTGAGGTCGCACCTGCCCATTCGTGCAACAGAGAAGACTGTTACGTTGCCCTACCACAGTTACGAACAGAAATGTTTTACGAGCCGTCAATTCAGTTATGTATAATTGGAAACCAACCGAGACGAATAAAACCAAAGTAATAATAATAATAAACTTACTCTTCATAACCTCACTTACGTGGCATATTTGCAATTCAAATATTCTAAAGCCAGATTTATTGTGCTATAAATCACGAATATCGCATACCTAATTGCAGCGCAATCCCAAACGGCTGAGAAAAACTCCTTTAATGTGCAATTAAGTTGTACAGGTGGGAGTTTTTGTGCACACGCATTAATATTCCGCTCGGGAATCGCAAAAGTGACCTTGCACTAAATCCGTGCATCGCTATATCGTCATATCCTTAATGTTCTTACTTTTAATCACACCTTATCCGTCGCATCAGTTGCCTCGGTACAATCGTCTCGACAAGTGGAGGGATTTGTGCATCGCATGCAATGATATCACCCACATTCACTACATAGTATAAAATAAAGTCGTCCGGCTGTCTGTATGCTTAGATTTTTAAACTACGCAACGGATCTTGATGCGCTTTTTTACTATATAGAATGATTCAAGAGGAAGGTTTATATGTATAACACTGCATCCGTGCGAAGTCGGGGCGGGTTGCTAGTTATATACAAATACGGTGTGAGACACTAGCGCAACGAAACTGATGCACTCAAGTTAAGCCAATTGGTGTTTTAATTGCAATTCTATAGACGGTCTTCTGTGAGGTCGCACCTGCCCATTCGTGCAACAGAGAAGACTGTTGCGTTGCCCTACCACAGTTACGAACAAAAATGTTTTACGAGCCTTCAATTCAGTTATGTATAATTGGAAACCAACCGAGACGAATAAAACCAAAGTAATAATAATAATAAACTTACTCTTCATAACCTCACTTACGTGGCATATTTGCAATTC